CACACAGGAGTTTATACACTCCCGGGCAGCAAGAAGGCTTGGAATGGAGAGGTGGTGCTCCAGAGGCATTTGAACAGCTGCAAACATGAGCAGACTTCCAAGGGATAGCAAAAGGGATCCAGGAGCCAACCTCAAGCTCCAGCAGTCAGCTCATAAAGTCAATTAGCAAATGCAAACCAAGCCACCGCTGCTGCCCCAGCCGGGTTGTTTGTTCCGTGCTCCTTCTGATAAGCACTAAACTCGCTCCACATCACGCAAAGGGCACCGACAGCCCTGAGTAATGAATCCCTGAGGAACGTCATCCAGTTGCTCACAGCAGTGGAAACTGAGATATGTTACAGCAAGCCTGAAGAAGTGTCATTGTTTTCTGATCAGTGAGAGCTGCAGCACCAGCACCCTCCCATCCAGCCTCTCCACGTGCCTGTGCACTGAGTTCCCGACCCTCTTAAACCACCCCTGCCACACAATCATAACCTTAGAATAGGGATGGTGAGATAAACACAGTAATAAATGGCAAGAATGACTTTATCATCAGAAAAATCTAGGGTAATCATACTCTCGAGACAGCTCTGCACAGTGTTATTTTCATATTTCCATTAAACATGACACAAACATCAGGGGAGGTTATGAAACTGAATAAAAATATCTGGGAAATAAATGGGATACAGATGAACAGGTGATTTCCTGACTTTTTTTTTTTCTTAAGGAAGTACAAAACTGATTCTCAACACCAAGAAATTAAGAATAGCTCTAGGATTTGGAAAATGTCTTTGGAACACACCAAAGGGATCCTTCACTGCAAGGTCTGTTTAAGTAAAGACCCACATTCCTGCTGCAGTTAAGTGACAAGGTCACAGCCATCGGTCACCAGCACAGCAGGTGACATCTCCTAAAGAAGCTGCCACTGTAAAATAAGTCACATTTAAGTCAGAAAGCCTGTTAGGTAGAATGTCCAGAAATTAATTCATGTTTTCATTAAATACAGATGACATTCTCCCCCCAGAAACTATTAATTTTGTCCTCCATCAGAGAAAGAAATCATTTAAAGTGAGTAAGTTGTGTAATCCACACAGTGGAAAAAATGAACCATCCTTTTTTCTGTGCAAGAGGAAGATCTTTTGTGTAGTAAATTCTACAAAACCTTGACTGAATTTCTCCCTAACTACATTACAGTAAAAGAATAAAATGAAAAGTCAGCCTGACAGACATTAATATTTAGAGGGTGCTCTCAGAACAGAGTGACATTAGCCAGCGTTTGTGTGCTGATCTTGCAAAAATCTGAGAGCGACCACATTGGGGTTCTTCCTGCTCAGGAAATTAGTTAATCATATTTGACATTTGCTAGAGCCACAGAGTCCGGAGAGGAGAATTGTCCCTGACATATTTTTAAAAAGAAATAATAATAAAAAAAAAATAATCAGAACCTCACACATAAATTTCAAGGTTGATTTCAAATAGAAAAGGCACTGCAGTGGCATGGGCAGAGAGTAACACCCAAGGAAAGATAAACTAGCAGTGAAACAGCGAGGGCATCATAGGTAATAAACCAAAAGCACTCAGTTTGCAGGGCACAATGAATTGATTGTTTTTGTAACAGTCATAGATTAGATTACATTTCATTTCCAAAGTGTTTCAATTCTTTCTCCTGTCAATGACTATTTCAGAGCTGAATAAAAGTCATTATGCTACTTAGGGAGCTGCACCTTCATCCTCTCCGGCAAGGAAAAGGCAGATTTATTCCATGAGCAACTCATATTTCTAATGGCATGCGTGCCACAAGGCTGTGACCTCTTTATCAAAAGAATAAAATTCTTATTTTCTGTCTTGAAATATGTAAGAAACCAGGCATGTAAATGCAAGAGATCATACTAGGACACAGAGTAAACAACAGCACCCAAAACACAAAGAAGTCTTTATTATTGCTGGATTAATTAGCATTAATAAACTAGGGCATAAATATTTTTGACAGGAAAGCAGGTCATTAGCATTGATGAGATGATATAAATGATCTTCCTAAAACAATCAGAGCAGTCCTCCCAGTTTGCCATTATACCCCCAGTCAAACATCTGACATCAGTGGAGAACACACAGCACTCAAACTGAGACTGAGACTCCTTCTGGCTCCTCAGATCTAATGCAATTTGAACAACAATAAATTGCTAATAATTAAACAAACACTGAAACTAAAACCTTTTACCACCATAAAGATTCCAAATTAGGCACAGAAAAATAGAAGTTTGTGAAGCCTTTTGAAATGGACTTTCTGTTGGAGGCACAACATACACAATGATTTGCATCAGCGATTATCCTAATTAAACTGCTGTTTACATAAGTAACGTTGATTTACTTTCCATGTCGTTCGGTGTCATTAGACCATTCATTTAATTGTGCACATTTCCTGTAGCTGGAGCTTTCTCCCACCTCCAGCAGGCTGTGAACAGCACCTCTGCTGTTCCGGGAGGGAACCCAGAGCAAGCTTTAGACAAGTTTCAATCCCCCCAATAACTGTGTTTGTTCCAGCATGTCACTGGCCTGGCTGATTGCCATGATCTACTCCAGCCTTAAAATCCATGGGAACAGCACTGCCACACAAACAAAGGCAAACAGTTAGTACCTGATTATTTTATGAAATGTTTTACTGTCTCAGTGAGGAGTGAAACTTGAGTTCCACAGGAAGGATGCCTGAGGAAAACAGGACCAGTCTAGGAACCAAAGCTAGGGCAGGAAGAAAATCTACATTTTGACTCCATTTTGAACCACATGAAATCTTCCCTAAACTCTACAACAGAAGATATTTCCTCTATTAAATAATAATAAAAAAAAATATCTCAGCATGAATTCAAAGTTCTGGTTAAAACTGCTCTAGGCACAAAATATGGCCCACACATGTCAGTGCTTCAGTGGCCAGGACAAATTCTTAAAACTAAGAAAAGAGCAGTTCTACTGTGGAACAGCCACCATGTGCATTTAAATACATTGACTGGAACTGCAGATTTTCAATCATTAATTATCGGCAGTGCCAAGATAATTAATAGTGATCAGTGCACATAAAGACTGGAGTTGTGTTGGAAAAATTAATAGATATGTGTGGAATGATAAACTGGTTTTATTCAACTTAACTTTCATTTCAGTATTATACATCACATGGAAAGAAGGAGGAAAAAACACATCAAAACTCCACGAAGATGAGGAAAAATTAAACTAAATAAAAAATTCCGAGCTATTAATCTTTCCCGATAATGAAGTACTTCAGGATGACTTCTAAAACTCACTTTCATTTAGATGCTTCATTTATTTTAATCTGGGAGATAATTAGAAGGAAATCAAATCCATCTCCACGGCAGAATATTTACCTGAGATGCAGCTCAGACTTCTCAGTATTTCCCCTGTGTGTTCAAACTCTGTGTCACACATATTACTAAAACTTTACTGAGATTAATGTCCATTACTTAATTAGCACCAAAACTCGAGTGTACAATCTTTGCTGCTGTCAGAACAGGAATTCTTCCAGGGTTTTTTTCTAATAGGTCAAATTTTACTCAAGAAGCTCCGCACACCATCCCCAGTTCAATAAAAAGCACCTGGAAGCAGAGGGACTACATCTCAGCTGAAGGGGTGGGCAGTTGTCCCTCGAGTTCCTGCACATCCACACAAAAAATTATCAGGGTATTGCCCTTTGCAGAAAGAAATGGGGTTGATTTATGGTGAAGACATGGAGATATTCATTAAAAAGATGCTCTGTTAACCAGATTATCCTGAAAAAAAAGCTGCATCACTGATGAATTCTTGCTGTGAAGAGCCAATGGTTTATCTCATCACCAACTAATCCCGTTATAAATTATTTAGCACTCAAAATGTATCAGAGAAGAACCTTCAGTTGAATGTGCCTTCCACACAGACTGGTCTCCTCCAGCAATTTATTTGTAATTATCATTTGCCTTTTTTTTCCCCATATCTAATATGTAGTTAATGAATGCCTGACATAAAAAAAGGACATGACTAGTTACATAATTACAGGTTAAAAAATGATCTTTTTCAGCTCCATGCACTGAAGTAATCTTAAGGGTGGAGGTTAAGTACAGAGTATAAATTGCTTTGCAAAACGTTCTGCACACTGACCACAGCAACCTCTATGTGTGGCACTGCCTTTGAAGGAAGAGTTTGATCTTATAATAATATTACAATAATACAAGAACTTGTAAGGAGTATCAGTCATGTCCTGTTCGTAGAACTCGGTCTCCAAAAGGTTGGTAAATTTGTACCTGAAATCATTATAGAACATGAATAACATATTTCAAGGTGCCACAAAGTGCCAACAGAAGCACAAAATGGATATTCTGGTATGGAGGCAGGCCTGTGAGCAAAAATTTCTGGGGAAAAAATAAAAAATTTAAAAAATCTCCCTCTCATGTCTCCAGGAAACTGCTTAAAATAAGGTGGTTTATCAAAAGAGAAGATATGGTTTCTCTCAGCCTTATCCCACCACTGGCATTTCTGTGCAAGCTGCTTAAGGCAGCTCCTCTCATTTCTAGATCATAAATTTAACCATGTTTATTATCACAGATCAAGGAAGCAATTTCTAAATACAATATTAATACTTTTCAGCTCCAATGGGGCGATTCATTCAGACTAATTTGTGACTTTCAAGCAAATTAATAAACAAACTTACATCTCGTGACTGTTTGGAATAAAAAAAGAAGCCTCAAGTACAAATAAATAAATCTGAGTTACTAAACTGTTTGCACCAGTGAAGAGTAAGATCCTCCAGGGGATCTGATGAATCCTGATTTCCCATCAGCTCGTGGAACTTTTCAGTTCCTTCAACCAAAGCCTCGGCTCCCCCCGAACTTCCACCACTCCTGCAGGAGAGCAGCACGTGGCCAGTGCCAAGCTGGGAACTCGGTGTCCTGGACAAACTAATACAGCTGGGGAAAAATATTTCCCTTTTATACTTACTGCAAGGTACAGATGCAAATCCCAGAGAAAACAGACACACTTACTGGGCATCTTTCCTCTTTTTTTTCTGGGGGTCCACCAGGCGCAGAGTGTCCCTGATGACAGCGACTTTCACTTCTTCATCCACAGGGCTGGGGACATTCTCAAAGACTCCAGGAGAAAGCTTTACATCACAAAGGGACACAGTTACTCACTGCAGAACTAAGGGTTGTTTAGTCCACACTGGCTCAAACATCCCGCACATCATCTGTATTTTAAATACACAGTGATGGATTACAAAATACTTCTTTCAAGGATACACAAACACCCTCACGTTTTCAGTACGATGTTACAACAAACTGTGGCAAATTTCTCTAGGAAACTGAAATATTAAAAAGAACATTGTTGCCGATGTTACTGTTTATGTCATGTATCCAAACGTGAAAAAGATTATTAGCAATCCCCTAAACACAATTAACAACTGCAGGGGATGATGAATAAATGCATTTATGACAAAGATGATGGAGAGCTTTCACTATTCCAATAAGTCATATTTCCAGTGTATAAGATTAGCAATGATTTCAAAGCAGAAAATTACAGAGAACCTTGGAGGTTTCATATTAGCAGACAGCTCTCATCTTTCAAACATGGGGAAAAAAAGACCAGAAAACCCAACCTAAGCAATTTCCTTCAAATATCACCCTCACACTGAGAAGTCTTACCTCTTGCTCATGTTCTATTCTCATGCTGGGGTTTGCATTTACTTCTAGTAACATGGGCTTCAAGTTTTTCATCAGGAGAATGTCAAACCCTAAAATCTGTGCATTAACAAGCAATATGTTACTTCAGTTTTACTCCCAGAGTTCTCCTAGAGAATGCAATGCTCGTCCATATGGCAACATTGAGGAGGAGACATTTGAGAGGCAGGAGAAAAATAACTGAGAAACTCGGTATACTGCTGAATAATCACAGAAGCCATTTGTCTTGGATACTAATGGCTCCTTTCACGCCACCCCCACCCCTAAATACTGCATCTGCCAACACGGAATCTTGGCACCCGTGACAACTGGATCTTCACATTGCCATGATCACAGGAGCATCAGGAAGCTGCAGATCTTCAGTTCTGACATGCACAAGATGGGGACTGGAGTGAATAATGTTAGTGACAAATTACACCCATTGACAATTCTCCATATATGTCTGGGGCTGGTGGTAACACAGGTCAGGAGGTTTGACTTGGGCGAGGAGAACATAAACTCTGAGCTCCCACAATGCTGTCCCACACACAGACACCCAACTGTGATCTGCAACACCACTAAAGAAACCTTTCGGAAAAGGCATTAAACATCCACAAAATTAATCCATGCATAGAAATAACTGCAGTCCTGGCAGAAATTCCAACCTACCTGGAAGCAAGTTGGCCCGGGCTTTCCTGATGGGATGTCAGACTGATAGTAAACTTTCAGTTCTGGAGTCAGTGCAATAATTGTTTTAATCACCAGTGAAATTATATCTGACCAGAGCTTTTTGACATCAGCTCCTCTGGAAGACAGTCTGCACAGAATGCTTGAAAAAGTCCTCTTGCTGCCAGTGTTTACACTGTCAGAATGGATGAAATTCTCACTATGGATATTTAGTGAGTAGTTGGTTAAGTGCATAAAAACCTGGTGCAAATTTTTTAAGGTGGGTTCTTGATAGGGCTCTGTACAAAACCTAGAAAGTCCATCTTTGGCTATATAAATCTCTAAGGGTTCTAAGGATTTCAGCAGGACATAAAGACGAATATCAAACTTCAGTTTGTCCACGAGCAGTGGTTTGCAGATGTATTCCTGGACCACAGCTGGCCGGCTCTGGATGCTCCCCGTCAGCCTGATGTCACTGGGGTCCTTAATGAGGTAGATTCCATCCCCCTGGCAGCCTCCATCGGGTTTCACAATAAAAGTGGGCTTCCAGGACGGATCGCTGTCCTTCATCACACGAACCTGCAAGGAAAAGCATTCACTGAAAGGCACTGATGGAGGGGGGGAGAAGGGCTGATACTCTGCAAGGCAGTGAACAAAAATAAATTACAACAGCATGATCACACCCCCAGAGTAGTAAACACCATGCAAAGAGGGTAGATGATAAACAGTGCTGAGAAGCACAAGGAGAAACAAAAAAGCATGAGTAGGGAATTACTAGTACAGATAGAAGAACATCATTTTATTTAACAAGCCATTGCATAGGTGATTTCAAGAACTTCTTTTTCACATTCAGTACCAAGTGGCAGAAGGAAATGTGGTATATCTCAAGAGATCCACTTTAGTAGTGTATGAAACTGCAAAGTTAAACTTTTGTGCTACATTTTGAACAACAACTGACAAGGATAATCATTGACATAAGGAAAGATGCCTTATTTATTCAGGTATGAATGAAAACAATACCAGAATAGGAAAAATAAAGTAAAAATTTGGCACTGACAATACTTTTTCCCACACTGAATATTTTTCACAATCAGATGCCCAGTGTTAGTAAAACTGGGAATGTTGAGCCATGTACAGATACAACCAGGTCACTGACACATCTGCTGAGTGCCAGATCTTTCATGTTACATGCGTATTTCTCACTGCCTAAATAAACTTCAGTTTATTTATTACTTGTATAGCAAAAGCCAGAACTGCAGAGATGGAGATGCCTCAATTAGCAGAGGTGAAGCTGAGAAAGAAAGGGGAGCCCTAACAAAGAAAGCAGTTAAAGAAAACACAAGGATGCAGATTATGGGTTTATCAGCTATTCATGGGATTCAGAAGAATAAAGCACTTAAAACCTCTTCAAGAGGGAGGGATGTCGCAGCACAGATCGTTCTTTTCTTGCATTCACACATTTTGGGGCACCAGACCTGCAGCTGCTACTCTCTCCCTTCAGCCAGGCACGTGCTGAACCGAGGCGGAGATCTGGTTTTGCCCTGTGGCTCGCCAGCAACAACTGCAGATTGACTTTTAGAAGCCTGAGGACACAAGCTAACAAAGAAAAAGCAATCAGTTGCCACCATCAGGCCTGGCACTGCAGAGTGAGAGGAAAAAAATCAGCCCACAGGAAAAGGCTGAGCGTGGTCAGATCACTGTGGTTTTCTCTGCTGTGACATTAAACTGCCGACCCCCGAGAGGCTCAGCTCTGCCAGCAGTGACATTCCCAAGGTCTGAAGGACTTCTGGCTCCACCCTATCCAGTTATTTATTTCATTGAGAGTCACACTGCTGAAAGCCTTCCTGCCAGCTGCAGGAGAAACTCAGGATCCATTATCCAGACTAGGATTTTTCTCACAGACAGGTGTCACACTGACTCAGTGAAAGATCCTTCTCCAAAATAGGTCACTTTGAGGGATAAAATGCCTCAGTGGAGGTCAGGCTTACATAAATGGCACACGGATAAATAAGTCCAAGTAGATCAGCAAGCCTAGATGTGCAAAGAAGGAAAGCAGGATTTATGCCCTAGTCTTTTTACCACTGTAGAATAATCTTCCTTGATGTGATATTACTCTGCAGAGCAGAGGAGTTCTCTGGTTCACCGTTGTTCACAGAGACAGACCTGCTTAACCTGAACCCTCCACGACTAAACAGACCCTGATGTGACTCTAGTTGAATGTGTGAAGTGCCAATCATGGTCTGCCAGGGCAGAAAGTTACACAGAACCCCTATGAAACCAGGTGGAACAATCTGCCTCCCAGACCCACATCTGCTGTTCACCCCTCAGGCTACTCCTGCTCCGCTCCAGCAGCACCTTTCCAAGGAGATGATGCTTTCCAGGGACTACTGCTAAAGATGCAACAGCAACCTGCTTTTCAAAAATACTGCACTGTAACAGCCACTGCTCTCAGAGATCTCATGCTTAACTCTACTCTTAAAATAGAAAGCACATCATTTTCTCCCTCTCCTTCTAGTCCATTTTTGATGGACTAGACGGCCTGGACATTATTCAGGCTTTCTAGTCCGTCAAAACCTACACATGGCAGATGAAGATAGGTTGGTGTGGAAAGGGGGAATAGTAATCCAGAGTCAGTCTGCTTTTCAGCAGATTGACTGTCTTGAAGAAAACAGATGGTTTCTTGATCTTCAAGGAAATTCCCAACAGTCGTCTTCAAATTCTCCACAATCCCCTCAACTACATTCTTTCAAGTTCTCATTACGAGGAGGCTTGTCCAGACTTCGAAAATTCACTCATGTAGGAAAATTAGTTCATATGAAATGAGATATTTCTGTGTCCTTTGCTGGACAGAAGGAAATTATCTTTAAAAAACACGTTAACCATTTACAGTCAACAGCAAGAGGAGAGTTTGAGGAAAATCTGTGGGTTTGCCTTTCCTAAGGAGACACAGGCTGAATGAATAGAGTGTTCTGGGAAAAATGCATATAATGGGCTATAAGATTTGACAGCACAAAGACCAGAATATTCATGTCTATGCCTAAGAGGTATCCAAAAGCTGAAAACCTGATTAAACCACCAAAAATACGCTGTGCTAGAAATTAGACTGTCCAAATTAGATCCTTATTAAAAATTAATCATACTGGCCTATTCATCATCCTTACAGACAACACAAAGAAAGAAGTATCAGGACAATCAAGGTTCCTGGTTTGAATCCCAAGCTAGCTAATTCAGAAACTCAAATTTAGGGTTTATTAGAAGTAAGTTCTTAACACACACCTTCCAACAGATTCTCCTCTGCTGGTGAAGGAGCAATTACGGCAGCACCTGAGGTTTGCTTACCTGTAACTCATCTTCTGTTAAAGGACATGTTAGTACAACGTATTTTAGAAGGTTAAAAATGGGTGAATACTGAAAATAGCTAAATACACATTTACTTAGTAAGATGAACTTTTAAGCCCTTGTTGAAAATATCCATCATCATTTCGATATAAATGACACTAAGGGAACTACCTTTTTGTTGGTATTTCCAATCTGAAGCTCATCCACCACAAACTCAAGAGTGTAGTTTACTCACCACTACTGGCTTTCAAAGCACGGAAGATTAATATTACCTGTAGTGTTTTCTGCCTGAATCCAGGCATAGGGGAAAGTGGGAAAAGCTGAAAACATCTGATTTCATTATTGACACCTTCACAATCATGACTACTGAAGTGAGGCACAATAAGAATATGTGAGAGAAATCATTTTGAGATCTTGCAGTGCATCAGGGGAGGCAGCAAGACTTTAATTCTCAAGGAGTTTCTTCTTTCAGTAATCATTTCTATTCCAGGCAAAATCTCACAGGTGTTCATTTTCAGTCCAGCCCTTTGCAACAAAATCCTACACTACAAACAGCACCAAACCATCTTCCCACGTGTGACCCACAGCTCCACTGACACGCCATTTGTGACCTTTGGTAATTCATATTGCAGTGTGTTCCAGCTCCTGCAGGGACACGTCTAACGTGCAGACACCATCAGTGCTGAGCTCCTCTTTGTGAACAAGCTGAAATGCAGCCTCGCAGAGCTGACGTTTTTGGCAGCATTAGGGTCCCTCAGTTGCAAAGCAAACAACACCACATATGAACAAACAAGCAACAGAAAAGACTGGAGAACTCCTACTGAGAACTCACAAAACTGCAAGTGAAAAGCGTTCTGAACCTTTTACGGTTCACAGTGGGTTTGGAATGTTTCGGTTTGTATTCCTCCCTGTTCTGGAGGGGTTACACTCCCAACTCGTGTTAAGTAGAACATAAAACTCTTACAACATAAAATATAATGTTTGATAACAAGAACTATGCTTTTCTCCAACACAGATGGAAGAACATATGCAGAGGAAACTCCTCAGAGTGTGTTACTGGACATCTGTTACTCTTGGAACAAAACGCGGCTCGTTTTCCCCGCAGCGAGCGCCGAGGCAGAGCAGTGTTCATTCGCAGTGCCACCTGCTGCCAGCGCACGGGGCTCAGCAGCTCAGCCTCTCCTGCTCAGCCCAGGTCAGCAGCACCTCGCACCTCCCAAAAAACTCCTCAGCACGCCCCCGCTGCACCCTTCTGCGAGTTTACTGCCAGGTTGTTTGCACTGATCGACCTGTCGTCGCTAAACTTGGTCCTACAGTTTGTGCAGCAACAAGGCTGAAGTGCTGTTGGGATTTTATTCATTTATTTTATTTTATTTATTTTATTCATTTCATTTTAGTCATTTTCGCTGCTCCTAGCAGTGCCATGGCACAGTGACCCAGCACACTTGAGGAGCGTGTTAAAAAGAATTAAAAAAATAAATACAATTTTTAAAACATTAATTAAAAAACAAAAACAATAAAAATATGTTAATGGATTCAATTGGATTGTGAATATGGCGATTATCTAAAAGGTAACACACAGTACAGGAGCCTGTTAAAGCCCAGACCTTTTTCTCCTCACTCTTCCAAGCAGAGCACATTGTGGGATGCAAGAAGAGACTGGGTGAGTCAGACAGGGTTAAGTAAACACACAGGATGTTTGAAAAATATTTGTAATAACAGAACAAAACACCAACACAAATCATGTTTGCTTTTTTTTCCTCCAAAAAGCTGAAAAAGAATGGTATTTAATCCCATGCTGAATAGTTAAAGCAACAGTGTGACAGAAGATGTGTGTTTAACAAGGCAGAGTACAAAATGCTCTTCTGAAGGATTTTGATACAACAGGCCAAATGGACTACAAAGACTGCAGTGCCAGTGAAGCTGGGGAAGCACCACACTCCCCTCACTGCCCTGGAACCTTCTCAGGCCAGGAAAATGTGCAGGGAAGGAGCTTATGGCTATACCAGGTTCAACTGTCAGACCTCTTTCCTGAGATGGCAGAGAAGCAGAACTGTTTTGATGTTTATTCCAGAATATACCAAACAAAAGGAGCTCATCCAGACTATGACTGATCCCAGACAAACTGGAAAAGAAAGATGTCATCCACAGCCCCTTAGGGAGATTTTAAATAACCCGGTAGAAAACTAAAGAAGGACACGGATACAATATCCAACAAGTTGTACGATCCTGAGAGTAAAAGCGATCTACCTCAGCCACAAAGAGGGGAAGCTCTTCTGGCAGGATCCAGGAGCGAGGATAGAAGTTATACTCCAGAGGAAACAGGTCCTGCATTGTTCTCATGGCCCGGCTCAGGGTAATTTTCCGTACCGTCTCCATCATGCCTGGGAAAGGAACAGTGTCCAGAAGTGACAAAAAAATCCACTCCCAAGTCTCATCCGAAAAGTGAATGGTTAATCACTACCCACCCTGCTGGGAAGGCACCCTGGTCACTGCTGCCAATAAAGATGAACACCTTTTAAAATTTAAAACCGGACAAAATAGTTGTAGTGTTCCCCTGCCATATTTCCCATTGTATGTGTTAATGCAGCATAGTGGAAAAAAAATTAACTCTCAAAAATACAGCTCAGAATAAAAGGCAGAAAGCTTTAGTCAAATATTAACTGTTGTCTTTGCCACAATCCAAAATTATTTTTATTACCTATTGTTCCAAGGAATGTGTAAAAATGCCATTTGAATATAATCAACCATTCTGTGTTTACTTTGCAGTCATTTAAGTAGCTGCACAATCTCAAAGAACAGGTTATTTTGTGAACAGCAAAAACAAACTCACATATATATATTTTTAATTATTATTTATTTGTATTTATTGAAATCCTATATCCGTTGGGAACATGACTAAGGCATTATTTTTATGGAAAAGTTTCTAGTAAAACCCAGCATCAAGTCAGCACAACATTCCTGGAAATCAGGTGTGGTTCTGAAGGGCTCTGGTTTGACTCCTGTGCAGCCACTTGCTCAGCAGGCAGAAGCCAGAGTAGAGAGGTAACATCCATAAAACTACAGCATCCTACACCTGAGTGGGAACTTCCCTCAGGCACGAGAAAGTCAAGGTGAAATAAAGCCTGGAGTTCGATATCTGAGGTTCTTATGCTCACAGCATACTAACAAGCAGCAATAAATCTGAAGTAAAGGGCTTAGATAAGTCAATACCTAAGCTCTTAGCTCTTATTTAGAGAGATCTCAACAGGGATTAAATGAGGGGAAAAAGGAGCTTAAAAAAGTAGAAGAGTCATCATAAGATGAGGACTGACATGAACTCTTCAATATTAAAAAATCCATTTAAGGAATTCTGCTTCGAGCTTCTCCCCGAGATAAGCTGAAGTAGGAAACAAAACAGATTCTTTCCACTTTGAATCAAAACCAAATCAAAAGATGCAGCACTGTTATCAGCACCAGATAACAGATAGCAATTGCATACTTCACTTAAATTATAGCCTGACACTCTAATATTTCCTAAATTCATGTGTTTGAAGTATTCTTCTCATCAAAACCACTTTCTCTCCAAAGCAAGTTTCAGTTAAGACTCTGTTCAAGAGACCTATTCTCATATCCTTATCCCCTAAGCAGGAATCACCTACCAAGCCCAGGAACATGCTAAAAATATTATCAGCTCATTAGGTAGATAATTCCCACTAAAAACAGTAAAACACAGAAACAGGCCAAATAATCACATTTTTAAAGCATTTGCTTAAACCAGAAACAGAAGTGAAGTACCTGGAAACTTGTTGACTTGACCTGAGAAGATATTATTGTCATGAAACGACACCCCATGCCAGTAGATATCGCAGGGCAAGCGGCGGCCAAAAGGAAACTGGAAGAGAAGAGCCAAGTTTTGAAGCAAGATGGGAACACCCATTCATTCCTTTCTTTTCTAAACACTCACAGTAAGCACAAACCACCTCAGAATAGTCTTCTGACTGTCAGTAGAAAACAAGCTCTGTATCTGTGTGCAAAGATAAGAATGTTTGGATCAATTTGAGGCTCTTAAGTTAAGAAACCAGGAAAGGTTTTCAGAAACCAAACCCAAGTGACTGAGAGGAGTGATCTGTACTGGAAATACCATCTGAGGGACCACAGCCAAGGTTTGGCTCACTTGTAATTTAAAATACTGTTACAGGCAATAAAATTCCACTAAGAAGCACTGAATTCTGGCACCTGAAGGCACAGCAAGTGCCACAGCTGGGAAGTAAATGCTGGCTTTGGGGTTGGGGTTTTTTGGAGTTGGGGTTTTTCCCTTCCCAGTTTAAGGGATGACAAGCAAGCACCAAGGGACACAGGCACTAGAGGCCATGGAGGAGTTGGCACTACTGGCAGTTACTGAATCAACTCCTACTCTAAAAAACTCACCGTTTAATGCCTTGTCCATGCTCCCCTCTCCACATCCCTTTCCCAGACTGCACCCACACCCAGAGGCCCTTCACCCCCAGCCTTGTGGCATCTCCACGAGCTCCCAGTCTCACATGAGCACAAACCAGTTCTGTTCTTTGGTACTTTATTTCAGGGAACACACATAGGGAGGAATATTGTTCTAAATTTACGCTAAGTTAAAACTGCAAAGCACTTTCTGAGCAAGCCCCTTTACACTGGTGTCCAAGCTGCAATAAATGTAAAATGGATACTCAAAGCAAGATATTTAAGTGAAATAACTGCATTATTCATTTATGTATATTCAGTTATAAGTATTAATTTATACAGTATTAATTCCTTTCTGGTACTAATAGCCTGTAATTAAAATAAAAGCTTGCAGTTGCATTAATCATTTGTTGAGCGTATATATTTCAACTATTAAGAACTAAGGCGATTATTTCAACACTATTAAGTGCTCCAGTTTCTTTTCCCATTCACACAAGATTTCTCTGGAAATTGGAAAACTGTATAGTTTGTTTTCTATTACCAGAAAGACCAACCTTCTTCTAAGCAGCCTGAAGAGCTCAGAAGCAGCGCTGCCAATTACTGAGAGCAAGTTTCTAATAGTAGTAAAGTGGTTTAAAAAACACCCAATTAGTTTTGTGTAAAGAAGGTTCTCTTCTTTTTCACGCTTGTTCTCTTAGACACAGTCCCATTTATCCATCCAAAAAAAAAAAAACCCTCTTTTATCTGCAGCTCCATGTAGATGCCATTTAACTACCATATGGAATATATTCACAGGAATCACTTCTATGACTAGGCTATATCTTTTTCATATAAATATGCTATATTTAGCATTTTTAGGGCACATTTGCATTAAATATCTACCACCCTCATCCCCCAGTACCGTTTACTCTTTGAAAGAACCGCAGTATTTTGCAGAAACTTCTTGTTCCTTACTCCAAATGCGATTTTTCTTGCTTTAAAACATTTCTTAAGCACTGGATTATTTTTTTTTCAGTATGACAGAAAAAAAGAATCTCATCAAGCTTTTGAGTGCATTACTTTATTTGCTACTTTAATTAAAATTTCAGCTTCCTCTGTAAATAGCCTTGAAAAATTAATTTAAAATGCTAATTGAGGAATGCATCCTTTCTCTGTTTCCTTACTCTCAGGGATGAGAAACCCAATTTAACAGAGCCAGCGGATTCTACACTTATTTCATTATTATTCAGACTGCAAAACCTGTTTTTGTATGAGTGAAAATTAATTCTGTTGGGCTCTGAAAGACAATCAGTGGCCTTAACCTCTCTCCACAGGTACATCCAGAATACAGATGCAGCCTTCGGTCTGAGAGCGCCCTTCCCACCAAAACCTGAACAATTTATTTATTTATTAAATGAAATTGAAATGAAAGGAACGAAATTTGCATTTATATAACACCTTTCATCTGCAGAGGATATCAAAGCACTCTACCAACACTGCACAGAAATCATTCCCCAGCAGATGAGGAGTGAGCAGCTCTGGACAGGAACGTGGCAGAGCCGCAGCCCCACGTCAGCGACTCAACACGGCACCGTCCTGAGGAGCCAAGATTATCTGGATTTATCCACCAGTGGCATCTAACTCATCTGAGTGAGCTGGGGAGGATTCTCTATCCCCTGCACTATACCATTACATAAGAGCAGTGTTTGGAGAGGAGCCAACAAGTTTGATTATTCGGCGCCTCTGGCAGTGCCAGGCAGATGTAAATTAATGTTACTGTGGTACAAGAAGAGTTTTCACTGCATTTCCAGCTCCTGGTGCAGGCACTGGCTAAAAAGAAAGATGGATATAAAGCCTCCTATCTTCACCTCCCATGTGGCAGCCGGAATAGCCTCACTATCCAGTGCCAAAGCCAGGATGGCCCCAGCCAGAGGGGGACAGAGGTTGTAAAGGTGACTGGAGCCATCCTTTTTTTAAATCTTTTTCATTCACGTTTGGAGAACATTTGTCAGAACAAACAAACAAGGAGCCACAAAGAGAATGGCATTGTTTCCACAACTCTGACACCATTAATAATCCATCACAGTCAAATCTGCATGGCAGGTCATTTCTACCTTTGGATTAGAAGCCGATAATTTAAATTGTCTCACAGGTCACATCAGCCTGTTCCATCACGTTTAATGACAAGTTAAATGACTCATCTGCTAGTCAGCCTTTCCCAGCATAGAATTTCAAGCTATCCCTACATCTCCACGCAGGCACAGGGCAGCGAGACAAATGGAACGCTCAACGCTGGGATATTTGATGCCCGAGACATCTGCTTCTTCCATTTTCCTGGTAATTGAAAGCTTGCTAAAGAAATAATTTATTAAGTGATGAATAAACTCGGGATGCAAGCTCAATTTGTGCCCATTATTTCATTTGGCATATCATGTTCATTTAAAGAATCTGTCACGCTGGATCAGATGGTCCAATGCAGCGATGGGAATTGCTCCATTGGCACGTGGAAATTCTGCAGTGCTTTTTAAAAGGTCCGCCCCAGACAGGCCTATCACAGTTGATAATTTATTTCACTCCAAATTCCCCCAGCTGAAAAAAGAAAGTTGGGGGGTTTTTTTCCCTGTCTTTTGCTTCTGGTAACAGAATCTCAATGGTCAACTTGCTCTGTCTTGGACTCCTTCACCCCTTCCTCATGTATCGGTGCCCCAGAATAAACTGCTCACCAACATCAGCCACGTTCAGAGTAGTCCTGCTTTTTCTTGTGTCTTATTATGGCATTTACCATATGTCAGTTCACTAATGAACCACTACCATGTGGCCAATTCTGTAATGCATTCGTGTCTTACTTCTGCAAATGGGGCACGCTGCAGGGAACAGACTGTGACTGAAACCAAGGCCTTCCAGCAAGTCATGGAAACTACAGCACGGAGGTTTTGGAATGTACAACTTCACACACAAAAAAAAACAAACTAAAAAAAAGGCTATATGGCACCATAAAATGCTGAATAGTAGAGAGAAAAAGTTATGAATAAAAAGAAGCCCACTTTAAAAAAGGACATTATACTGTCTCCTGCCCAATAAAATACTCCAGCCAATACATCCAGCAGCAAACAGAGGGCACAGAAAAAAATGTAAAAGAAGTGGAGAGGGAGAAGAAGGATCACTTGAGAAGTATTGTACAAGGGATGACAGTAGAATAGCAGCCACTGAAACATCAATATTTCAAATATCTGCATTTCATTACTGCTTCCAAGCCTTTTCTTGCATATTTGCATGGATCCTACAAGCAACATCCGTGTTCCCTCTGCTGGTCCTGCTGTAACAGTGCAACCAGCTCCGAAGGTGACAGTGGTTTGAACAAATATTTTACTGCTATTTCTCTAAACATCTGAAAGGGAGAGCTTTCAAAATTACACGCAGCTTCAATAAAGATTTCCTTGGATTTCTCTTCTTAATTTCGTTTATTTCTCTCTTCAGATCTAGACCAGATCTTGCTGACTCCCTGTGTCTCCTGAAGTCTGCCAGCTGGGAGGCAGCAGTTTGCCTTGCTCCCACCTCAGAAGAATTTCACTTTGGTGTTTCCCACAAAGGAACCAGCACTAGTTCAGAGTCAGAGATAACACTGGTTCATTCCTCTTTCCACCTTCAGGACGGCGTGGAAAAAAGGGCAGGGAAAATGTGATTTGATACACATTTTCTTGTGTCAGTGTATACTTTCTTAACAAAAGGAAACATCACGTTCATGTTATTAACCTATTTCTAAGCTCTGAACATACAGCGAGACCTGACAGCGACTTGTCTGAAGCAATGAGTTATCAGCCACCCAGATGGTGCAGCCAAGCACCACAACATTCCATATTAGACCTCTTCTTTATTAAGATACAAAGTGGTCAGAAGAGGAAGCAACAGACTAAATGGAAAATATTGACTGAGGAAGGAGATGGAGGAGAAAGGATATTGAGGGAGACAGAAAACAGAGAGATGAAGCAAAGGCAGCAGCGATTGCTGTTGGAGAATGCAGAGCAGGAAGGAAAAAGTTGATTATTGCAGTGGAGAGATACATGAGAGGAACAAGAGCCTGTGAAACAAGTCAATTAGCAGGACAGAAGACCATGTGCAAGACACATGCAAAGCAGTGAAGTCTCAGGAAGCTATAAAGACCAAACTACCACTAAGTGTGGCTCGTTCCCAGCACAGTCTGCAGGGCTAACTGATACCAGTGGTCCAGAAACACTCACTGGAACAGCTCTGGGCACCCTGAACATAAAACTTGACCATAAAAACAAAGAAATGAAGTGTGAAGCCCCCCTGTTCCGTATGTCCCTACGTAGGACATGGAGCAAGGCTGCTGACAGACACTCCACAGGTGCACTGGGGGCTAAGAGAGGTAAATGTAGCAGGTTTTAATTTCAAGGCCCTGGGATGTTTGTTACTATTTTGCTGCACAAGCAGAAGTTGAGAACTGGGGCGCTCGTGCAATGAGGTTTTGAAATTCTCCCGCTGGATTTAAACAACAAAACTCTTGAAATAAAGTTTTATGAAGTCAGAGAAGGAGAAAGCATTACACTCCCTTGGACAGAGCACACGTGTCTTTGTGGAATTAGGTATTTAGGACATTATGAATAAACACAGTAACATTTACTGCCACTCAATCCTCCAGAAAATACATACGTAGCACCTGACTCTGAGGTTAGGAGCAACACAGAATATACTGTCTGCCCCAAGTCTGTATAAATCTCGCTTGAAGTGCACAAGGTGCACAGAACTGTCTTTATCTTGTGAGTGGGATCCCAAAGGCAGCTTTGTGGAGCAGGTGCGGGTGAGAGATCACACAGCTCCGTGTGAGCTCTGCACGCAAGAAACAGATCATCCTCAGGTTTTATCCCGCCCTTCCCTTCCAGCTTCCCCCTTCCAAATGGATTACAAGTGCCCTTTTTCTTATACAACTTCCTCACAAAGCTCCTAAAAGCCATCTCAATTCCTATAAAACCATTTATAAAGCTGTTAGTGAAAGAAAATCTTTACAGTTTGAGAATATTTACCACCTATAGTAAGATATATCTAAAAAATCTCTTGAGGAGTTAAATAAGGAGTTCCAAAGCATCAGTTTTGTGCCAGCTCCCCTATTGCTATGATTCCAGTTCAGGCACTGCTCACATAGCACAGAAAAAACACATGACTCAAGCAGCAGATTAAAAAATAGCCATAGCTCCTCTGCATAAAGTAAATTAGCGGGCTAAAGCCTGTTATGCATGATTTATTCGGTGGCTTAGCACTCTTTCATTCCTACACCAGGCTCTTGGAGATGATGGCAGCGGCTTTGCCCCGGGATCAGGCAGCGGATCTGCCGGCTCAGAGCTCCTGCCGCTGCCACGAGCGGCATCCCACGTACCCACACCCCGAGAAACGCGGACACACACACAACACGCCGAACATTTCCACACAGGAGCAGGTTTCTTCCTCGCCCTTTCCGTAAGCGGAACATCCCTGTGCTGCCCCGTGTAAGTGGCGATGAAAGGTCGCGATCATGAATGGAACCAGCTCCGAACGGGACATCTGGTGTGAAATCACCCCAGGGTCGGGGTGGCCCAGCCGGGACCCCCCCCCCCGGCTGCAGCAGCTCAGGGAGGCAGGGGAGGAGGAGGAGGAGGGAGAAAGGCTTTGCCGGGGCAGACCCGGGGGAAGGCAGGGGAGTCTCTCCAGCAGCGCTGCCAGGCCGGGCAGGAGCAGGGGCAAGAAGGGGGAGCCCCCCGAGGGCCGGTCCCGCCGCGGGGCGCTCACCTCCTTCCAGCGGAGCTGCCTCAGGCTGATCTTCAGCGCCTCCAGCGAGGTCTTGGCCTTGGAGCTGTCCACCGTGACCCCGGGCCGCCGGCCGCCCTCGTCCCCGCCGCGCCGGCCCGGGGCCCGCCGAGCCCTGCCCCACGCCGCCCGCCCGCCCGGGCCCTGCCCCGCGCCGGTCCCGCGCCGGCCCCGCTCCCGCTGCCGCCCGCCCGCGCCGGGCAGCGCCCCTTTCCCCGGGGCCGCCGCGCCGGGCGGCCCGGCCTGCCGGGGCTCGGCGGGCAGGGCCGGGGACCCCGGGGGCTCCTCCGCCTCCCGGGCTGGCTCCGTCCCAGCCGGCTCCATCCCCGCCCGTTCCATCCCCATGCCCATGCCCGCTGTCCCCACCCCTGCCGGCTCCGGCTCCATGCCCGCCGGTTCCATGCCCATCCCCGCCGGCTCCATCCCGGCCCGCTCCCCCCCCGCCCCCGCTCCCCGCCCGTTGCCATGGCAGCCGCGCGGCCCGTGACCCGCTGGCCCCGCCCCCCGCCGCCATGACGCGCTGACGCCGCCTCCGCCATTTTGGAAAAGGGCAGTGCCGGCCGCCACTCCCGGGGAGGCCATTTCGAAAGGCGCGGGGCGGGGCCGCCATGTTGGAAGCGGGCGGCGCTCCTCCCTCATGGCGGCTCCGCCTCAGGCGGGGCTTGGGTGCGGCTGCCTGTGCCCGCTGTGTCCTTCAACACCGAAGCCCTTTCCCGGGGGGCTCAGACACTAAATTCGCTCCTTACCGTGTGGTGGAGCGATTGTCATGTGAGGCGGGGGTCCCGCCGCCGTTACAAAGCGCTGCCTCCTCACAAAGGGTGTTCCCCACGGTCTATTCGTGTTCACCTCAATAAGTGCTGCTACAGCCCCTCATCACCGGATTTTAAACACACTTACACTGCCCGACTCAAACGCACTGCAAGAAAGTACGAAAACAGCTTTTAACGCTACTAATAATGGAATTAATAACCCTAACAGCAGCTCCGTGATCAACCTGAGCAAGCTGGAAGGTTGTCCGTGCCCACTGCAGGGGTTGGAATTACACCATCTGTTTAAAGTCCCTTCCCATCCACACCATTGCAGGATTCTGTGATTCTGTGATACAGGAATCCCTCAAGACATAGGTGCAATGACACAGAGAAGGTGTTAAAAGGGAGCAAGAGCAGATTTGGGGAGTTAAGGAAGCGCAGGGCAGTGGGCAGGCGGTGGCGCTGCGCCCTGGGAAATCCAGCCTGGATGCAGGGAATTCCGAGACTTCGGGGAGGAAAAAAGGCAAGAATGATCAGGATTCTGTGTGAAGGAGCAGTCAATAGAGTCGTACCCTGTATCAAGGCAGCAAATAAGCCATTTAAAAGAGGGGAAAATTTAAATAAATGCTGCAAAAGTTGGGACTCGGTTGCTAATTAAAATAAAAAGGTTGTGTCAAGACCATGCTCCTGACTGTGAAGCGCCCCAAGACAGGAGATATCAATGTATCTTTTATCTGCTAGATCAGGTTTTAAGAACAGCTGGATTCATAATCTCTCAGTCTCACCTCATACACACCCTGGTGTTTTACAGAAGCCAAGACGTGCGACACAACGTGCCAGTAACGGTGGTTCTGCACGTCTGGACCCTTTTCCAAAAGTCAGCAGTACTTTATAAAGACGAAAATTTAACTACCAAGACACTGTCTTATTTCAACAGCAAACTAGAGCTTCACCTGCAACACTCACAATAGAGTTACGAGGCAATGAAATTCAGAACATGTTAAAAGTTTTCTACACCCCTATTTTTCCAGTGCCTCACCAGTCTTCTGCCATTTACCCTTGCAAGGCAATGAAGAAACTAATTAATTAATTAACTAAACTTTCAATGTGAAGTTGAAAGTTTAGTTAATGCTAATTTAGTAATGAGGAAGGCTGAGGCGATGTAGCTCGCTCTTGCTTCCTCCCAGGTTGCTATTAAATGATGTGCATTATTTTTTTAAAAAGCTGTGACAGTTTTTAATAAAAAACTTGGGAGCATTTCCATGTGCCAGCAGGAGCTCAGAGGGGACAGTAACATTGGCAGGAGGAGCTTTCTGGGTGGTGTCTTTTCTGTGTTCATCACTGAAGGCACATCCTTGGCCTCACCAACCAGATCACAGAATCACAAAGTGGTTTGGGTTGGGAAGGACATTAAAGACTATCCAGTTCCAAACCTCTTCCATGGGTAGGAACAAATCATGAAGAAAAAGGAATATTTTGCATATGTTTAACACTGGCACAAAAAGTTCAGCTGTAAGAAAAGCAATTCAAAGATGTTGGAGTGTTGGATTTAAAATAGTGACCTGACTCTGACTGTCTCCTATTTTACTGCCAGGCTCCCACATGAACATTTTTTAACACAAAGATTTATCCTCACCAACGTCAGCAGTGCTGAAGGAAAGCCAGGGAAAGAGTTAAGATGGGCCAAGGCATTAAGAGGCTTTGGAGCATGGGAAATACCAAACAAAATGATTGCAAAGGGGAAATATTTTTATATCTAATTATGATATATCCACATTTCTTACAGGCTAATAATGGACTGGTTGTTTCTCTACCGGAGAAGCTGTAATAAATCAGATACCTGGTTTGCCCTGGATTGTTGGATAAAACCTTCATTTCCTGTTGAGATAAATAGAGATGGGCTGCAGTGTGCAGCGTGGGGTCAGGCTGTACGTGGCATTCAGGTACTGCAGGGTGGAGAGTAAAGTATAGGTTGGGTAGTAACAAGGTACAGGGTAATGCAGGAGAGCGTATCCCGCTGGATACTGCAAGCTGGATCTAGCAGCTGGAGAGAAATAGAAAACTTCAGATCATCTGTGCCCTGTGAGGAGAGGGAAACTTTAAAGTTATGGTGTGCTGTTAAACACAAGCTTGTTTCCTGAGACCCTTGCTCAGAGGGAGTTGTTGGTAAGAACAAACTGGTACTATCTCGTGATAATAAGTGAACAAGAATGTGCATTCCATCCAGGAGAACTGTAATGTCCCTGTACTCTCATTAAATTCAGGATGTCAAATACAACAGAGGTCTAATGTTAAGGGAACGGGGAAGGATAATGTCTGACTGTACGGTATTTTACTCATTTCTCAGTAACAACTTCACTCTCATTTACCCTAAATCATCACTTATGGGGTCATTATACCACAACATGGTTAACCTGATGTTTGCGTGCACAGGTAACTTCCAGGTCCAAGCTGGAATCTGGGAATAAAGCAGTTCTACAGATGCAGTAAGTGAACAGTGTGAGTTTCCCATCCTGACAGTGTGCTGATCCCAGCAGCTCGTACTGAGGCTGAACTGTGCTGCCAACCCGTGGTCTATGGAATTCATGAGTTAGGCGTGTGAACACATCACACTTATGAGGTTAAGTAACATTTTTCTTTAATAATAAATTTGTGTTCTTCTAGTAAGCTTTTGTGTTTCTGAGCTGGGATCAAAATGTCTAGCTTTTCCCTAGCATCATAAAGACAATAACTGCACTCTTTTCTATATTTTTCCTTTTTAAAGATAGCCAAGAAAAACCATGTTAACATGTAATTTACAAAAAGAACATACCATCTTTTTAAAATATCATATAAAACTGGCCCCCTGCCAGAGGCAAATTTGCAGAAATACTTTAGTGTACTGTTCTGAAAAAGAACACATTCCTCAAGCTATTATTAAAAAAAGTTACTCATGAAGAACTATCCATCTGTGGCTGAAGTTAATAGGGTTTTTTTTTGCAACAACGCAACTTCTGTCAGTTGTACTTTCACAAATCAGTAAGAAAGCAATGCTTTATAGAATGAAAAATCATAAGAAAACAAATCTATAAACTGAGTCCTCTTGGAAAATGTCCGTGGTGGAGTTATGCTTCAGCCTGGGTTTAAATCCATATACATCACCCCTGCTGCCCATGTTTATGTTAGACCACGGAAGATTTGTGGTTGACCTACATATGCAAACAAAACATTTGCTGCATATTTGGGGGGGGGGGGATTTGCATGATAGAAGATGATGAAAATATGCATAATTGTAGATGACATTTCTCATTCCCCAGTCCTGCTGCACAGCCCTTTGGAGCTGGCCATGCATGAAAAAGGCTGCAGTCCCGAGGGGCAGATCGCCTGTGCTGAACCACCGAGACATTAAACTTCTGTTTGTTCTTGAGCAACGCAAATCTGCAATAATCATCTCACCAAGCAGCCCCTCTGCTCGCAGAGGGCACGTACGACACTAACTGAGGGGGCTGAAACCGCGAGTTCCACATGTCACCGCTGAGCTCACGTCACGTGGCAGCTTCAGAGACTCGCCTTAAGATTTTGTTTGTGAGTTTTCTTGGTGTTCTTCAAATCCCCAATGCATCAGAGGGTAACAACACACAATTTCAGTCAACAGTAGCTAATTTATCTATTCTTGCCTCCGCATTTCATCCCACAGCAGCATTTCTAGGAAGTCTGCTGGTGTGTTAGTACACCAGAAACTTTGCTCTAAAAATTGCACCAGCACAAGTAAGTACTAATAATGTTGATAAAGGTGCATGACAACCCCAGATCTGCCAGGATGATAAAGCATGCACTGATCTCTCAGCTCTTACAAGGATAATATGGAAGTGCTTCCCTGTAACAGAGGTTTTGTCTGCCATTACTGGATGTCTGTCTGGTTGTTCTTGCTATGTCACATCTTACTTATCATTTTAAATCTTTGCAGCACTGCTGTGCAGAAATAAGCACTTAAAATGGTTAGAAGAAGGGAGGAAAATTCCTTGGCATCAAGACCAGGTCTCCTTTGGAAAGCAGAAAGCATACAGTGGCTCTGCAGCTCCTTTATCGGAGTTGTGAAGGCGGGTATGGAAAAATATGACATGATCCGATGGGAGCAACAGCTCCCTTCCCTGTAAACCAGCTGAGAAACTGATAAAAGAACACCCTGCATGACCACAGTCTAGGTCTCCATAAAAAATGAAGAAGAAGGATTTACATACAGAGTAAATGGCAGTGCAGGCAGAAATGTGCACCCATGTGAGAGAAAGAGAAGGAAAGAAATCCTGGTAGCCGGTGCCTGAGAAAGAAAGCTGATCCAAACCTGTTCCCTGCAAAAAACACTTGCAGCTCTGAGCCAAGAAGCTGTCTTGGTGCTTCACTCCTACTGTGTTCAGAGAAACGGGACTTTCTGTGAGTGCTTTGCACATCAAAGGAATAACTCCTCAGTACCTCCATGTGATGCAAACACCCACCATGGGGTTTGGCCAACTGCTCGGTCAAGAAGGGGTAATGCTACTCAGGGTTTGTTTATACTAAATCCGTGACGATGTCCTGTGTAACTGTTTCATTCCACATGCTTGCCAGGTTTAT